TTTTTCAGTGTTTCAGGATTCACTGTTTACCCACCACACCACTGCTCCATGCAATACATGCCCTCCTCAATACCCACCACTAGGCTTACCTAGTTACCCCAACCGCCCTTCCCTCCAAAACCCTCAGTTTGTTTATCAGAGTTCAGTCTCTCATGGTTTGCCTCCCCCTCTGATTTATCCCAATTCACTTTTCCTTTCCTTCTCCTAACATCCTCCATGTTATTCCTTATGCTCCACAAGTAAGTGAAACCATATAATAACTGACTTTCTCTGCTTATTTCACTCAGCATAATCTCCTCCAGTCCCGTCCATGCTGATACAAAAGTTGGGTATTCATCCTTTCTGATGGCTCCGTAATATTCCATTGTATATATGGACCAGATCTTCTTTATCCATTCGTCTTTTGAAGGGCATCTTGGTTCTTTGCAGTTTGGTGATTGTGGATGTTGCTGCTATGAACACTGGGGTACATATGGCCTTTCTTTTTACTACATCTATAGCTTTGGGGTAAATACCCAGTAGTGCAACTGCAGGGTCATAGGATAGCTCTATTTTTAATCTTTTAAGGAATCTCCACACTGTTTTCCAAAGTGGCTGCACCAAGCTGCATTCCCACCAACAGTGTAAGAGGGTTCCCTTTCTCCACATCCTCTCCAACACTTGTTGTTTCCTGTCCTGTTAATGTTGGCTATTCTAACTGGTATAAGGTGGTATCTCAATGTGGTTTTGATTTCAATTTCCCTGATGGCTAATGATGATGAACATTTAAAACTATATTTGACCAGCACACATTCTCAGATCTTAAGTTTGAAAGATGTTCTCTCAAGTTCAAATTTCACTTTCAGAAAATGATATGGCACTGTTTAATCTACAATTTGGCAACCAAGAGTTAAAAATAATTGACTGAACCCAATTTTCAATAGCTCAGATTTAAAAAAAAAAAAAAAGCAACAACCCAACTTCATGAGTTAATGACAAAAGAAAATGTTAAACTACAAAAACATAAAAATTCATAAATGAAAACCATTTTTCAACCCTAAAGGGTACGTACAAATTGAGTTTACTTTGAATTTCCCATGTGTAAAAGGGAAAAAACCTGCTATTACATGTAGATATTTTCTCTCTTAATGAAAGTAAACTTATTTCCAAACAAAAGTTCTCACACCAAATTATGGCTTTCTGCTACCACTCCACAAAAAACAGATTTTTACTTAGAGGCTTAGTCAGTTAAGCAGTTGCCTTCAGCTCAGGTCAGCAGGGAATCTGCTTCTCTCTCTGCCTCTGTCCCTTTCCCCCTACCTCCCTACTTGTGGTCTCTTTCTCTCTCTCAAATAATAAATACAGTATTTTAAAAAAAGAATCGATTCTTACTTAAAATTTTTTTTATTTAAAGTACGACTGACTTTTACTTTAAAAACCAAAAGCAAAGCACAGGGGAATTTTTGGAAATCAAAACAATAAATCTCAACAAAAGGCCTTTTCAACAAATACTGTATTGATGACTGTAACATGATATGCAAACAAAGAAAATTACAAAACATTTTCTTAAGAAGACATGATAATCAAAGAGACACACTCTCAAGGGTCGCTCATAATCACCAAGAGCCTTTATCCAATCCTTATCCTGCTCTCTCTCTCTAGCTATCGACATTAAAAAAATCTCCTGGCCTTCTGAGATAAGAATCTCTCCTCCCTTCCTACCCTCCTAATAAACTTTATCAGCCTTCACTGAAGCCTCATTTTCCTGGCATTTTCCTTATCTGCTCCCAGGGCAATTTCATTCATTCCAGCAGAGGTTTCAAGTATCGCTTAATGCTGACAACTCTCAAATTCACCTCTCCTGCTCTTCTCTCTAAGCCTCAGATCTGTATTTCCAACAGTCAACCAACGTGTCCACCAAGATGTTCCCCAGGTAATACAAGTTTAACTTGTTTGAAATCAAAGTCATCCTCTCCTCTTCTCACCCCCTACTCAAAGGTGAATGGTCCTGTGTTTTTTTTTTTAATCCCAGTTAATGACAGCCATAGAAACAAGACTATTTTTAACTCTTCCCTTTCTCCCATCCCTTCTCCCCTTATAGTCCCTAAAGCATACCTGCAGCTCCTCCACTGAAGTACATTCCTTCATTTGCATTTAAACTGCTATTGCCCTTTGCATCACATTTGATAATATCCTCCCTGACTCTAATCTCTCTAAACCATAAACTACAGATTACATACATAAAGTGTGTGTATATATAGTTTAAAATATTATATATAGTTATATATAATTACAAATATATACATTTGACATACATAATCTACAGACAGTGAGTTTGGACTTTGGCAGTTACCATTGTATGACACAGAAGTTGTTAAACCGCAAAAGTATTCATGTATATATAGTTACATATAATTTTTAAGAGGTTTCTCATTCTTAAAAGGCTCAGCACTACTGTCCTTAGATAACCCTTAGAGTCCATCACAAATTGTCTCCAGTTTATATTCCCTGCTTCGGTTCTACTGCCCTCTTCCTAAGTAATATTATATATTCCAGCAGATACACCATGAACATTTTTCTCCTCTAATTCTGCTAATCCCTTTTACCTGGAAATTTCTTCCTTTTCCTAAGTATAAGTAGTCTGTTAATCCTCCACCAAACAAGATTACCTGTTCTCTGTGCTCCAAAGTACTGTTCAGACCTCCAGCACAGATGCAATTACAACAGATTAGAATTACAGTAAAAGTGTGCCTCTTTGATAGCCTGCAAATAACATGAGTCTTATTCATTTTAGTATTCCCATCCTTTATATGCCACACAGAAGTGTTTGTAAATGGTTGTTTAATTGACTTGAGGATGGGGCCTCAGGGGTGATTCATAATTGAGGGTTTTCTAAAGAGACAAGAGTCTGCATATAAATAAAATGTCAAAAGAAGAAATACAACTAGGAAAATACAAAGTTATTAAACTGTATTTTCCTTGGCTTTCAACAAGTTGAATAAGCAATCAAAAGAGTCAAAATTGACAGAGAGGCAGATAAAGATTCAACACTACCAAAAATGCCTTTTGTGACAAAGAAAAAATACTTGTTATGTATACAGCTGACAAAAGTTAACATATTTAACAAATAAGTATGCAATACAACAAAATCCACCCAAATGAAAAATGGACATAAGAATGAAAAACTAGTTCATAGAAGAAAAATGTAAAAGACTAATAAACATATGAAAAATTCCTCAAGTTCACTGATAATCAGAAAAAGACAAGTTAAAAAATACTATTTTTCACCTATCAAATTGCAAAAAAAAATTTTCAATGCTAATATCCAAGAATAACCAGGGTATGGCAAAATGGTTATGCCCTTTGTCATGTTTGGGGGAATTTAAATTAGCAAAGTATTTCTGGGGGCCAATGTAAAAAATAGAGAAGAAATGTTAAAAATTATTCATACCCTTTAACTCAGTATTTTTACTTCTAGGAATTTATTCTAAGAAAAAGAGACATGCAAAAGTGTATGCAAGAAGGATGTTCATAGCAACACCATTAAGAATACCAAAAATCTCAAAACATAATTGTTCACCAACAAAGAAGTAGCTCAAATAATACATTTCTTTTCAAAGGCTATTATTTAACAAATATTTTTTAAAAATACTATGACAGGGGAATAGGATCATTAGATGAAAAAAGGGGAAAAGACTGAATAGTACAATGTAATAATACAAATGCATAAAGAATGGAAAGAAATACATAAATTATTAACTGTAGTTATTTCTGTGCACAGTCACTACTAGTCACTAAGAACTTCTAATAGTTTTAGAATTTAAAAAATATATACTATTTTTAAAGGTTATTTGATTTCCTCAACAATGATTCTGACAGGGGCACCTGGGTGGCTCAGTGGGTTAAAGCCTATGCCTTCCACTCAGGTCAGGATCCCAGGGTTCTGGGATTGAGCCCAGCATCCGGCTCTTTGCTTCCCTTTCTGCCTGCTTGTGATCTCTGCCTGTCAAATAAACAAATAAAATACTTAAAAAATAAAATAAAATAAAATGATTCTGACAAACTTCAAAAAAGGCTTGTCAGAAAAATATATAAGCAAGATTTCGATGATTTAAAAAGAAAGAAGCAGTAAGCAGAAGAAGGAAACAAACTACTTCTTAAGGAGTTCAGGAGCAAAAGCAGAAACAAATTAGGTGGTAGTTAAGAGGACAAAGTCAAATAAAGCTTAATCATTTAAACTGTGGAAGACCTAAGTATCTTTCAAATCAGAAGAGAGAGAGAGAGAGATGACAAAATTCATGATACTAAAAAGTGAGAGGATAAGGCAAGTAAATTATAGACCTCTACCACATTTTATTAAAATCTAGACACCGGAGCAAAGACCATGAATGTGACACATATGTGTCCATTTCCCTTTGTTCTACTACACGCCCACAGATCACACCCCAGCCTTAGACAATTATTTAAGAAAGAGAGTTAATGGTCACCAACACAGCCAGAGAGAAAAACACATGTCTAGATTAAAGCGATTTATTACTTCAATCAGAAAACCTTGAAAAATAAATGTTCTTTGGGGGATCAAACACTGTGATCTTTGGTAAAAACACTCTTTGAAGCATTCAGCAAATACTTACCAAACATCTATTAAATGTACGGCACTCTGTGAGCGATAATCTCTACCTTCATAAATATCATGTTCAACTAGAGAGTCCAGATATTAAACAACAAACTGATGAACAAGTGTAAAGAGTACTATGGAAAATGCCCCATTAGGTATTTTGGAAACATATGAATATGACACCATGATGGGGGGCCGGGAGAGATTAGTCAAGACACTTCCAAAGTGTTACTGCATCTGAGCATACAAATTAAAAATAAGATTCACAAATGAACTTGAAGACTAGAGAAAAGGATTAGAAATGTTGAGCATGTACTATTCTGTTTTCAACACTTTATACTTAGTGAAAAAATGAATATAAACATCAATGCTGAGATTAAAGATAATTATGACTAGTACATACCTATACGAAGATCTCTTTGTAAAACATTCTTATCGTAAACATAGAAAGACAAATACTGGAAAGTTCTTGGAATCTCAAAGTAAAATTCTTCACTGAAAAATGGGCTAGAGAGAAAAGAAGAAAGCTCATTAAATTTAAATCTGACAGTTTCTTCATATAGTATTTTCAGTGAAATAAGTCACAAACTAAAACACCATAGAGAAAAGTTTCAAAAGCTCCACAATTATTCTCTAGGCTGTTTCAACTAAATCCTGTACAAACTAAGGTGAACTCTGAGAGGACCTCAACTGCCAAGTTAAGCTCTGAACAGTTTTTCAGGAGTCCTAAGTACAGAAGACCCAGTTATTACCTGGGGGTCATATTCACCTAAAGTGGACACAAATGAGAGCTCAGGACAGTGTCATTCACACCATCATCTCAGAAATATGTATAGCTACATTAATCACAATAATACATAACACAAATGGGTAATGTTATATAAAGCATTATTTTAAAATATTTTTAAGAAATTAAAACAAGTCTTAAAAACACAGGTTTTTTTAAAAAAATCAACTTTATTAAGGTATAAAATACATGTAATAAAATCTAATTTAAGTGACTGGGGTGCCTGGGTGGCTCAGTCAGTTGAGCATCATGATCACATCATGATCTCCAGGTCATGAGATCAGCCTGCATCAGGCTCAGGAGCTGGGCGTGGAGCCCATTTGAGAATCTCTCTGCCTTTGCCTCTCCCCTTGCTTACTCATGTGTGTGCTCTCTAAAATAAATAAATAAAATCATAAAAAAAAAAATGAAGTACAGAGTTTAACAATTTGATAAATTTATAAGCCTGTTTTGTTTCTATCCCAATCAAGATATAATAACATTTCTATCTCCCCATAAAGTTCCCTTATACTACTCTACAGTTACCCTGCCATGCCCGCCACAGGCAACTAGCGATCTCATTTCTACTATATAGATCTATTAAATAGTAGGTACTCTTGTGCCTAGCTTCTTTACTCAGCTTAACAACCATGAGACTTTTCCATTTTGTTGTGTATATAAATAGTTCATTTGTTTTAACTGCTGCATAACATTCTATTCATGAATGTTCTACAATTTCTTCTCCTAGTAGTCATGTTTCTGGTTTGGGTTATTAAATATAAAGCTGCTATAAATATGTTTATACAAGGCTTTTTCTGAATATATGTTTTCAATTCTTTTGGGTAAGTAACTAAAAGAGTAGAACTGCTAAGTTAAAAGGTAGGTGAGGGACGCCTGGGTGGCTCAGGCGACAGTGTCCTCTCGGTCACGATCCCAGAGTCCCAGGTCGGGCTCCCTGCTCAGCAGAGAGCCTGCTTCTCCCTCTGCCGCTCCCACCCCTCACCCTGCTAGTGCTCTTTCTCTCGCTCTCTCAAATAAATAAATCTTTAAAAAATAAAAGGAAGGTGAATTTTTAATTTATAAGAAACTGTCGAACTGTATTCCAACATTTGTACACCAAACAAATGTGTACCATTTATGCTTTTACCAGGAGTGCAGGAGAGCTCCAGTTATTCCATATCATCGTCAACTTCTGCTACTGAAAGTCTTTAAAATTAGCCATTTTACTGAATGTGATATAAATTTTTACATTTGTGTAATCTCTACTCCAATCAAGATACAGAACATTTCTATCTCCCCAGACAGTTCCCTTGTGAAATCACCTCCATACTGTCACAGGAACCAGTGATCTGATATCGATCACGACACATTATGTTCAAGAATCTATAATGAGGGGCACCTGGGTGGCTCAGCGGGTTAAGCCTCTGCCTTCGGCTCAGGTCATGATCTCAGGGTCCTGGGATCGAGCCCCGCATGGGGCTCTCTGCTCATCAGGGAGCCTGCTTCCCGCCTTTCTCTCTGTCTGCCTCTCTGACTACTTGTGATCTCTCTCTCTCTCTGGCAAATAAATAAATAAAATATTAAAAAAAAAATCTATAATGACAGTAATGACTTTAAACTGCATTTCCTTGATGACTAATGAAGATGAATATTTTTTCATGTGCTTGCTGGTCATTTGTATATATATTCTTTTGGGAAATATCTGTTCATTTTTCCTGCCACTTTTAAAAATTGGCTATGTTTCTTCTTATTGGTTTTATTTTTGTTTTTAAATAAATTCTAGATGCAAGTCCTTTGTCAGAATATTTTCTCCTAGCTGTGTCTTGCTGTTTCCATTTTCTTGACAGTGTCTGTTGAAGAGCAAAAGGCTCTGATTTTGAGGAAATCCAGTTTACCAATCTTCCTCTTTTATGACTAGTGATTTCTACATCCAGAGTTAAGAAATCCTTGCCTATGCCCAAGCTAAGATTTTTTCCTATGAAACAAGTCATTTTTAGATGTTTAAGAATGTACTTTGATGTTTAGATTCTATGAAGACATGAATCTCTAAAGTGCTAGTAAATATCCTTTGTTAACAGCACCTTTTTCCTGAGAATGTTTAAAGAACTAAAGGATACTTTGAAAATGTCACCATAAAATGCAATCTCTTTAGGATGTCTTGACTTAAAAACAAGCTGAAATGCAAAGAAAAATATCCTTACAGAAGTTATTTCTAATCTTGTCCAGAAAACAGTTGACTGAGCTTTTAGTTGTTTCAAATGCCTGGTCAACTCTTGTCAATGTATTTTTTACTTCAAATGTAATCAAAATAAACTTTGAAAAGCTGGTCAGTCAATGGGGCACTTGAGTGACTGAGCGGGTTAAGCATCCCACGACTCTTAAGTTTTGGCTCAGGTAACGATCTAGGGTCATAGGATAGAGCCCAAGCACAGAGCTCCAGGCTCCATGATCAGCACGGAATCTATTCCAGATTCTCTCCCCAACTCTCTCCCCACGTGCACGCTAATAAATAAATAAATAAAACCTTAAAAAAAAAGTTGATCTATCAAAATAACCAGAGACCCCTAATTAATCTCAACATAAAAATTGACACAAAACAACTATTAAGCAAAGACATGGCATGTTTAAGTATTTTTCTCCTTTGCATCATTTTATAAACAATTAGAAAATGGAGAATTTCCTTTATACATCACATGTACATATTCACATATTATTTTTATTTTTTTTTAACTTATTTATTTATTTGCTGGGGGCAGAGGGAGAGGGAAAGATGGTGTTAAGCAGACTCCATGCTGAGCATGGAGCCGGCCACTGGGCTCCATCTCACCACTCTAAGACCACAACCTGAGCCAAAACCAAGAGTCTGACACCTAACTGACTGCCACCCAGATATGCTTCAAATATTATTTTATTTATTTATTTGATAGACAGAGATCACAAGTAGGCAGAGAGGCAGGCAGAGAGTGAGTGGGGAGGCACAGAGTGAGCAGAGAGCCCAACACAGGGCTCGATCCCAGAACCCCGGGACAACAATCTGAGCCGAAGGCAGAGGCTTTAACCCATTGAGCCACCCAGGCACCCCTCAAATATTATTTTAAAAACAGATTCTAAAACCAAGTGAGAACACTACAGAATTATTCACTAAGTCATCTGGATCACTACATCACCATAATGTGGACAACCTTTTCCCCCACAACTGGGTGCTCACATCTTTATTTAATTAACTAATTAACTAATCAACCCCCCTGAAGGAAACTTTTCAGTAGATTGGTAAGGAGCAATGACAAGACTTACACAGCTTTAAAAACAACATTCTATATTGCTATCACTGACATATGATCATGCATATGACTCCTAAGGAAATTCCTGGCATGGGGAAGAAAAGCACTGGGCATAAGCAGTATTGCTGTTTCTCAGTTTGTTTATATACCACTCACTTTTTAAAAGGATTTGAGGTAAAAATTTAAAGCTATAGATTCCATATGTTACCCTTCCTTACCCGTTATGAAAACTCTATATCCGGACTACCTATAAAAACTGTAATATCCAGAACCCATAAACACCTAAATGGTATCTACTGACTCTTGACTTGACAGCTTATCGCATTAAAGGAAGAAAACACTGACATGAAAGCCAGGTTAGCAAGGCATACTCTTTCACCTTATTCTGCAAGGAAAAGTGCTAGGGGAAACCTAGAATCCAAGAAGCACCTATCTAACTATAACCTAAGATAACCATGGTTAATCTTAAAATATCTTCCAAGTTGCTAAGTATCTAAAAAAATAACTTAAGATGGGTAAGAATTATTTTCACCATCTTTTCCCAACACAAATATCTAGAAAAGCAAGGGTTTAAAAAAGAAAAAGCTAATTTTAGTCACTAATTTACAAAGCTACATATTAGAAACTACCACATGTATTCAATTTATGGACAATTACTAGCTTTATCACTGATTTTTGTGTGATATGGTATCAGTGTACACTGAGTAACAAATTGAGATTGAGACAGTTTCAGGTTCCAATCTCTGTTTTGCTCCTAACTTCCTATATTAGATGCACAAATTATTCAGCCTTTTGGTGACTCAGTTTCATCATGTATAACATATAAATAGCAGAATTCTAAAAAACAGGGACAGGTGATTTATGACTAAAGATGTTAAGTGTACTACTACAAATTTTGTGGGGCTATTAAAGTATTTTCAGCTTTATACAATGTCTTTCCTCTGAAGAACACAATAGACATTCAAAATTACAAACACTGACAATAAAGACACAAAGGGAAAAGCTCCAGAGGGGGAATAAAAGGGGGGAAGTGTAATGAAAAAAGATTATGAGAAAAAGAGCATCAGAAAATAAATTCCCAAAACTCAATTTAAAGGAGTCGTGACACTCAGTACTTCATCCATCACATGTTCATTCCAACAACTCCCAACTCCCTTGTTTTGACTCTTATCTCTGACCAAGACCACATCCTGCCAGCACAGCTCTGTGCTGGAATTATGTCCACAAACACTACTACAGGGCAGAGGCGGCACACTCCAATTTTATGAATTAGAATTTACTAGGATACTGAGTGCTATTACACTTTCAAAAGATGAGAAATTTTCCCAAGAATCCATTTCCTTACAATGCCCTACTTCAGTGATTTGTATAACTTTAAGAAATAAATTATTCTTAAGAGAAATAAAACAATGATGTACTCTGAGAAAAGTTCAAATGAATAGGCAAAATTTAGCCTAGAGAACAAACTGAGGTATATGATAGCTGTTTTCAAAAACGTGAACGATGTCATGTCAAATATTGTTTGAGGTGTTCTCCAGAAATCCAAGGGATAGAATTAGCAACAATTAAAAGGAAGTGTTATTTTGAGTTATATATTTTGAGGCAATGAAAAGCCACATGAAAGCAAGCACTGCATCTATCTTGCTCTCATGGATGTATGAATAAACCTCACCTAACAAGCTCTTGGTATATAGTAGGTTCTCCGTTTTATAGATATTAATTGACTAAATGTAAGAACTGTCTTAAGAGTCAGAATAGTTTTTTTTTTTTTTAAGATTTTATTTATTTGACAGACAGAGATCACAAGTAGGCAGAGAGGCAGGCAGAGAGAGAGGAAGGGAAGCAGGCTCCCCGCTGAGCAGAGAGCCTGATGTGGGGCTTGATTCCAGGACCCTGAGATCATGACCCAAGCTGAAGGCAGAGGCTTAACCCACTGAGCACCTCAAGAGTCAGAATGGTTCTAAGACCAAACAGGATGCTCAGGAGGCAATGAACTCTGGTCACTGGAATGAATGTTATTAAGCAAATGTCAGATGACTGCTTGTCAACAATAAAGGTCAGAAGGAACCAAGTGTAAGACAGTTGATTAGTCCAGTTCAATAAACACTAAGGCTCCTTCAAACACTGAGATTCTGTAATTCTAAAAACAAATCCAGAATGGAAAAGAAAAGTTTCAGGTAAAAAAAGTCTTTTTTTTTTCTTTTTTAAAAACCTTCATTTTATTTTATTTTATTTTATTTTTAATTTTTATTTATTTATTTGACAGGCAGAGATCACAAGTAGGCAGAGAGGCAGGCAGAGAGAGAGAGGTGGAAGCAGGCTCCCTGCTGAGCAGAGAGCCCAATGTGGCATTTGATCCCAGAACCCTGGGATCACGATCTGAGCCAAAGACAGAGGCTTTAACCTACTGAGCCACCCAGACACCCCATTCTATTTTATTTTAAAGTAGGCTCCATGCCTAGTGGGGTCTGAACTCTCGATCCCGAGATCAAGAGTCACTGACTAAGCCAGCCAAGTGCCCCTAGGCACTTTAAAAAAAAATTTTTTTATTAACACATAATTCATTATTTCTTTCAGGGGTACAGGTCTGTGAATCATCATTCTTACACAATTCACAGCACTCACCATAGCACATACCCTCCCCAATGTCCATCATCCAGTCATCCCATCCTTCCCACCCCCCTTCCCTCCAGCAGTCTCAGTTTGTTTCCTGACTTTAAGAGTCTCTTATGGTTTGTCTCCCTCCCTGGCCCCATTTTACTTTTCCCTCCTACCCCCCAAAACCTCCCGTCCCCCCCCTCAAATTCCTCATATCAGTGAGATGTGATAATTCTCCTTCTCTGACTGACTTATTTCACTAAGCATAATACCCTCTAGTTCCATCTACATTGCTGCAAATAGCAAGATTTCATATTTTTGATGGCTGCATAGTATTCCATTAAATATACACACATGTGTGCGCGCACGCGCGCCACATCTTCTTTACCCATTCATCTGTTGATGGACATCTAGGCTCTTTCCACAGTTTGGCTACTGTGGACATTGCTGCTATAAACATTGGGGTACATGTGCCCCTTTCGGATCACTACATTTGTATCTCTAGGGTAAATACCCAGTAGGGCAATTGCTGGGTCACAGGGTAGCTTATTTTCAACTTTTTGAGGAACCTCCATACTGTTTTCCAGAGTGACTGCACCAGCCTGCATTTCCCCAACAGTGTAGGAGGACAATCTGGAAAATGTATAAAATTTATTAATCAATACATATCTATGAAAGATAATTTATCAATTTTTTACAAACCTTAAAGACTTTTCAACAACCTGGGTACGATAAACTTCTTCCTGATCCAAATTTATGGTGCAGAAACAATCTCTCATTTTGTTGGGTCCAAGATATGGCAATAAATTTTTTGCTTCACCTGTTGACAGAAAAATTGAAATTGGTGTTAAGTACCACCAAATGCTTCATGCTAAACCTTATATAGGATGAATTCAATCCAAAAGAACATGGAAGATACAGCACACACACACACACACACACACACAAAAACCCCAGTGATTAGAAAAAAAAGGTGATAAACTTGGTCCGGTGAGACTGAAGAGCTGTGTCTAAAGGGGAGTGTGAGGTCATATTACATCATGGTTTCCCTGCTTCGAGAAAGGGCAATGCCCCCCCCTTGTGCTCTCCAGCCCAATCACCAGCCACCTCAAGGACTTGACTCCACAATTAATCCCTTTCCTTTATCATCATTAATTTTCCTCACTAGTGGATCACTCCCATCAGCACATAAATAAGCTTTCACTATTTCCCAATTTTAAAAAAAGCACAGAAAGAAAAAAACTCCCTTTACTCCTCCTCCCTTATGGCATCATCCCATTTCTAGACTCCCTTTCATAGCCAATCTTCTTAAAAGCAATCATTTCTAGACACACTGTCTCTAATTTCTCACCTTCCATCCATTCTTCAACCCTCTCCCCAGTCAGCTTCTAACTCTATGATGACACGGTAAATGCTCTAGCGAGGGATGCCAATGCTTTCCATGTTGCCAAATCCAATGACCATTTCTCTGTCCTCATCATACCTGATCTGGAGGCCCTATTTAAGTAAAAGTGAACACTAACATCCCTCCTTCAAAATGCCCTTTTCTTGGCTCCCACAATACAGTATTTCTGGCATTCCTCCTATATCCCTGGCCCTCTGCCTACTTCTTTCCCTCCTCACCTCTAAATGTTGCAATGCTTCACGGCTTGGTTCTGGACCATCTTCTTCTCTTCTTTCCCTGTGCAAACTCCCTCAGTATGGTGTTAATGCTGATGCCTCTTAGGTCTGCACTTCCAGGCCTAATCTCTTCTCCTCAACACTAGACATGAATATCCAACTGCCTCCTTGGATATCCAGTAGGCATCTCAAATTTAACAAGTCTTAGACAAACCATCTGATTTCCTCCCCTAAAACATGCTCTTCCCCCAGTCTATCATTATCTTCCTCTCTTTTTCTCATCATCCTCCCCAAACCTCCCCCATCCAGTAAATCCAGCAAAACTCCAAAATATATCCCAAATCCAACCACTTCTCCTTGCCTTCACTGGTATCCCCCTACAACCCACTCTTCACCAGAGTGACCATCTAAACATATTCTTCAGGGCATTCAGTCCCCTGCTCCAAAACCATTCCATTTCACTTAGAATATAATCCCATTTCTAAATTCCTGTTTTCATGGTCTACAATGCACCACTGTCCTCTCTAACCTCTTTTCTTCCCACTCTCCTCAGTGTTCACCCTCTTTCCATTCATCACCATGCCAAATTCATTCAAGCTTAGGGCTTCTGCTTGAAATGCTCTAACCCTACATCTTTACATGGCTGGCTCTGCTTACCACAGGTCTCAGCTTAAGTGTCACTTCCTCAGAGAAACCTTCCCTGATTTTCTGTCTCAAGCAGATAATCCTGTTGCCATACTCTATTTCTCTGTTTTCTTGATAGCATTTATAACTATACAAAACTAGTAATTTCTGCATATTTTCTGCATCTCTCATTCTTGAGGCCTGAGAACTTATTAATCACTAAAATCTGAAATTGAGACTGTCATACAATAGACACTTGAGAAATATTTCTTGAATGACCATTCAGGAAGCTAGTAAGTCTAGTTTTGAAGTTCTTGTGAGATGCTCATGGGCCAAAAGCACACAGAAAAATGTGTGTTGAATCCAGACTCCAGTGTACTCAATTAGGAAAGCAAGGCAGTTGGCATAAGCATTGCCCTAAGAATCATGAAACTAACATTCCTGCTTTACCTCTATTACTAAGTGGCTAAATGGCTTCAGACAAATCACTTAAGCACAGCTTTCCTGAGGACAATTTGGGCTAGATAAACTTGGGTCTCTGTCTGCTTATCAACTTTAAAACTAAAGGCCATTTACACCAATGTGTTTTAACAAAGCCCAACAGAAACTTAAGAAGTACCTATGAAAAACTCGATAAACCATTTTTTTTTAAAGATTTTTATTTATTTATTTGACACAGAGAGATCACAGGTAGGCAGAGAGGCAGGCAGAGAGAGAGGAAGGGCGGGGGGAAGCAGGCTCCCCGCCGAGCAGAAAGCCCGATGCGGGACTCGATCCCAGGACCCTGAGATCATGACCTGAGCCGAAGGCAGCGCTTAACCCACTGAGCCACCCAGGCGCCCCCTCGATAAACCATTTTTTATTACAATGAGAAAGTCAGTGAAAGACAAGACACTCATTAAGTTTGTCATTGAGAAATTTTTAAAAAATCAAGTTACCACTTAAAAAGAATAAACATACTATATTCAACTCAAGTCAAAATCAGGAATCTTTCAAATGACTCAAAAATTGACAATATGGGTTGGCCTTTACAAATAAACCAGTTTCCAAACAGGAAAAACTAATATTTATTTGAATTTATATCCATTATTCTCCTCTTCCTAAAAGATTACATGTCCCTTCTCTTATCCAAATCTGATTCCCTCGCTCTCATTCCACAACACTGTCCACCAACTCAGTTTTCATTACTCTCAACCTTCTTCTCCTTTAAGTCTTTTTTCTTTGATGTCTCTTCTCTGTATAATCCAAAGTGTTTTTTTTTTTAAACCCAAAATCCCACTAGGTCACCATAAAGGGCCTAGAATGTAAACAAATTAAGAATTAAATCATAATAAACATGCTCTATATCTAATGAGGGAATTTGGAACACTAAATCACTGCCCTTGAACATGTTCCCATTTCATTCACATTAAGTGCAGTGTGAGAAAACCACATCGTATAAATGTATACCTATTCTACCCCACCTTTTTAAGAGGGATATAACAGGGATTACTTTGTGTGCAGAACCCAATGAACCTGCTATTATCAGATATTTACTTAGAATAAGTAAAAACATAAGGTCTATGTAATATATGGAACACACTCAACATTATTTCCTGTAAAAGTTTTCATGATCTGTACTCATTGAATACCTGTCACTAAGTTATGTTTAAATAAACTATACTGAAGGTGAATTCATCTAATCAATGCCCAGTTCACTAATCATACAAATATGCTGATAAAGTCAGCTACCAACACTTTAAACTATAGTAATTAACTGGCGCTTTATAAAAAACGTAAATCAAAATAGTTAACTGCCACTCAATACAAAAATAATTGAAAGTGAAATAATGAACAGTTAGAGAACTAATAAAAAATGGTGCACCTATTATATCTCTAAGCAGAAAGAGATTACCTTAATACTGCACACTTTACATCAAGCTACTCAGAGACAAAAGTGAGGAACTTTGAAAGGCTGTACTTGTCTCATATGTGGTATTTGCATAGGGCCTCCCCTATGTTCTAATGGACAGAAGGGAGGGAAGGAGGAAGGAAGGAAATACAACTACTGCTCCTTGAAAACTTATTCTATAACCTCTGCTCCAATCCTTTCCTTCCTACTCACAGCCTGAGCCTACAATTCGGCGTCTGATTCTAGTTCTTTACTAGAACCTTCAAGAACACCAATAATTTTTTTTAAGTATTTTATTTATTTGAGAGAGAGAGCACGCATGCAAGCAGGGGGAGGGGCAAAGGGAGAGAGAATATCAAGCAGACTTTGTGCTGAACGTGGAGCCTGAGGCTGGGCTGGATACCACCACCCCAAATTCATGACCTGAGCCAAAAGAATTGGACGTTTAACTGACTGAGCCACCTAGGCTCCTCTAGAATGATAACAATATTAAGTACTACCAAATCAAAGACTGCTGTCAGTTCCTACCTTATTTGACCGTGCTTCAGTGTTTGATTAACAGCAACTTTTCCTCAGTTTAAATGACTCATTCTAACGGTTTTGTTATTCCCTTTTTCAGACTTTTCATCTGCTACCAACACTTTAAATGTGAAGAAATTTTGGCATCCACAGACCACTATATTCATCACATAGGTGGAGCACAAATTTTAAACATTTTTAATGTCATTATAAACAATAAAAATATAGTAAAAAAGAAGTACTTAAAGGTTTGTCCACAATATTTGGACAGTATTATTTGTAATCTTTCTCAATTTATCTATACAGACCATTTGATAATGGCTAGCCTTAAGGAGAATCAAGATCTGTATCTGTGGTAGATATGGTCGATCAGTGGTCATCATCCATTTCAACATGCTTTGGTATATGAATTCCTGTACCACAGAACTAGAAAGCTAAAAACTACATTCCCTAGTCTTTCTTGTAGTTAGGGTTGTGGATATGATTTAAATTACACCAGTCAGATGCACTTCTAGAAATCTGGAGAGCAGAAGAGAAGGGAGGTTGTATTGAAGCTGCTGCTACTATTAAGCACTGCCATGGAGATAGACAAGTTTTGTTCAGTAGCGTTTTCTTTTTTTTTTTATTTCTTTTTATTTTAAAGATTTTTCTTTATTTATTCGACAGTCAGAGACCACAAGTAGGCAGAGAGTCAAGCAGAGAAAGAGAGGGAAGCAGGCTCCCCGCTGTGCAGAGAGCCTGATGCGGGACTTGACCCCAGGACCCTGAGATCATGACCGGAGCCAAAGGCAGAGGCTTAACCCACTGAGCCACCCAGGTGCCCCAGTAGCGTTTTCTTAAGTCCTTCTATCCAGTCATAGGTTTCATGGATATCAAGAAGAAGGGCACAAGGCATCCATTCTGCCATACAGGTTGTGGCAGGTGTGGCTTGGCTCTAGAGGCAGCAATAGTGACGACAGCTTACTGATGAAGATGGCTGCATGCTGATGGCTGTTTCCTAACAGCGGCAGGTTCCTGATCACAGCAGAGGTGGCAAGGTTCTCAGAGAAGCAGCTAAAACTTACAGCTTTCCAATTCTGCAGGTACCTTTCTGATCCTAAAAAAGATAGTAACTCCCTTGGTAGCTCAGCTGCAATGTACTTTTAAAATTTCACTCATGAAAGTTC